CACAAGAAATCTTGCGAGACACAAAGACTAGTCATTCACATAGAATTAGCTAACACTAAGATAACATAATTTGGGGTTTTTATGATGTATGGTTGATGTATAAGCTCTCTATACTTTATTCATGCTGTGCAGTTCTTATGTGTGTATGCAAGCATTTGCGTAGCTAACAGGCATGTTTGCTGAACTGCATTTTCTCACTGCAGATATAACTGAAAAGTTAATGGCATTATGATTAGGCTTAGATATACAAAGTACTCCAAAATTTTTCTTTTGGATCACAGAGGCCTCTTAAGTACAAATTTTGGGGCCCAACGAATCTTCCTTTGGATATTCAGTCTTTTTATATTAAATGGACGATGCCCAAATTAAATGTTTCTAATTTTCACAAAGAGACTATTGGAATATTCATGAAAACCTAATTTCTTAGAAGCTTGGTGCATGTGTGTGTTTAGATAGGCAACTGGGCTGGCAGCTCATGTCCCGCGAGAAGCTTAGCCTGCATTAGAGCCTTGCACAAGGGCCGTGCATGAGGGCTGTACGTGAGGGCTGTGCATTAGGGCTGTGCATGCATAGGGCTATGTGTGAGTGCTGTGCGCAAGGGCTATGGTTTGGGGGCTGTGCACAAAGGCTGTGCATTAGGGTTGTGCACAGGGGCTGTGTACAGGGGCTGTGCACGAGGACTGCTCACTGGCAGCACCTTTACCACTGTTTTCTGGGACAGAGCAGCCATCCTGGGCTCCTGTGCCCGGCTGGCAGAGCAGCTGTGCAGGCCATGGGCATCAGCTGGGATTCTGCTTGAGGAAGGATATGGGCCCCCCAGCTGCCTCTCTGCTTTTTCATGCTATTATCCCTGTGTGCAGAGGGCTATGTCGCTTTGCATCACGCGGCAGAGCGTGTGAGCGTGGTGTGGGATAGAGGGGAAACTGGCTGCTGGTGCAAGCCCAGCAGCACCAGCACTGGAATCACTAGGGGAAACTGCACTGGGTGCTGGGCTGTGGGGCAGGCCCCACTGGGGCCTGCTCAAGGATGGTGTCTCCCAGAGCCCTCCAGTGTTTGTGGCTTCTTGACGTGAATGGTGCCTTGTCCCTGGGCAGCCTCCACACGTGGGTTTGCTGCCCCAAGCTCTGAGTGCCACAGCGTGTGCACCCAGATGTGCTCCCGCCCCACACGTGGTCCCTCCCCAGATGTGCTCCGACCCGCAATGTGCGCCTGCCCCAGGTGTGCGCTGCCCCCGGTGTGCTCCTGCCCTGGACGTGCTCCTGACACTGCCTGTGTTGGCACCAGACCGCATGCAGAGCGCAGTGGGAAGGTTGGGGATACGGCTTTTATTTTCCCAGTGCTGCCTGCACTGGCAGATACGATGTGGCAGGGGGCCCACGGCCGAGAGAAAGCAGCCCTCCCCCAGCCACGAATATTGGGGCTTCCAGCATGGCAGTGGCGGGAAGGGGTTTTAGGGGACGGGAGCTGGCGCGGGCCGGGGCCTGGAGGCAGCAGAAGTGCTTTGCCGAAGGCCCAGCACCAGGGCTGCTGCATGCCGTGCTTCCTTGGAGCATGTGCCACGCTTCCCTGGAGCATGTGCTGTGCTTCCTTGGAGCACATGCTGTGCTTCCTTGGAGCATGTGCCGTGCTTCCCTGGAGCACATGCCGTGCTTCCTTGGAGCATGTGCCACACGTCCTTGGAGCATGTGCCGTGCTTCTCCAGAGCATGTGCCGCGCTTCCCTGGAACACGTGCTGCACTTCCCCGGAGCACATGCCGTGCTTCTGTCGAGCACATGCCACACTTCCCTGGAGCACGTGCCAGCCTGGTGCTCACACCAGGTCTGTGCAGCTCTGCAGGCATCCGGAGCTCTCCTTCGATATTTTGCAGAGCATGGGGCCCTGCCCTGAAGAGATGCTGCATGGGAGAGGCCTCTTTCCTAAGCACAGACATTCTGTGGTGATGGCAAAAGGTCCCCGGCCTCTCTGGCTCCTGGTGCCCCAGGCCCTTGGGGGCATGAGGCGTTATGAGGGCTCTAAATCACGTCTGTGGCAGTGGCTCGCTGTGCAGCAGTGCAGGCGCCCTGAGAGGTGTGCGCAAGGACATGAGTGCGTTTGTGCCAAGGGGAATGTCTTCCATGGCAAATTAACTCCAGTTAAATTGAATATTTATTCAAAGGGAAACTCCAGTATTTAAAGCCCTGTTATCAGCTTTTCACAGTGTCTGGGAAAAAGAAAAGATGATAGGATTTGGGGGGTACTCTGCACCAGATACGAAAATAAATGCACTGGCTGCGGTTAACCCCGGGTTTGCCTCTCCGCCTCTCGCCTCCGCACGTGCTCGCAGCTCGGTACCTCTCAGCGTGGTCTGTAGGGAGGGAGGGCAGAGGGCGGCCGCAGCCTCAACCCCGCAGACCCGGCCAGCTCCGCACAGGGCACAGGGATGCGGCACCAGTGAGCGTGCTGGGCTCTCCCTCTCTCTGACATTGCCTACCCCACAGGGGCTCCCTCTGCTCCGCTCCCCTTCCCCGGGCTCCTCGGGCCTGCAAATTTATGGGAGCTGCAGCTGGTGGACTTGGCAAGTGCCCTCTCATTAGGAGCCCGCGCTGCGAATGGGCTGCGCTTGAGCATTCCCCTAATGAGGACAGGACGGGGTTAAAAAGTGACCATTTCATGGTTGACTTGAACCTGCCTGCCTTCCTTGATGTGTCGCTGTGAAATGTCTGACGCCAATAAAAAAGAAAGAAAGAAAGAAAGAAAGGAAAGAATAAAATAATAATATTAATAAAAACAGAAGAGGACGGGAAAAAATGAAGAGGAGAGAAGCCGCATCCCCCGCCGGGTAGGGCGGGGAGCGCCCCGAGG